AGGCGCCAGCAATTTGTGGTGTTTTATTATGCAGACACCAATTCCTTTCAGCAGACAAGTATAGCATGCGAACCTGCTTGTAACAAAACATCTAATCCATTGCCAGTGCATATCGACTGGAATTGGAAGAAAATGTCTATTCGTGCATAAGTTCGTATGTCTGAATACCCGACACTGAGTGTTACTTTTAGGATCCCAAAGAATAATTTTTAATGACGAATATATTTACACAGCAATGTTAAAATATTCTAAACAGATTTTTTGAAACAAAAAGAGTGCATATTTCTTACCAAATTATAGAAGACTAGTTTTTTTTGAAGCAAGTGCATAAATTTGGTTAAGGCGCATCACGGAGCACTGGATATTTTCTGGAAAAAAAACATTAATTGATAAAATTGATAGGATCCGTGCTATCAATATAATGTAATTTCGATATATACTAGTGGCTACCTGTTAAATTTTTACTGAATATCATGCGATTATCCCGCTTTCTGCTTACGCCTCTAGAGTCCCAAATAGTATAATTTACTTCAACTTTGTAGTTAATTTCTGAGGAAATCAACAACAAAACAATTAATTCGCTTCTCCTCACGATGATTATTACATACGTTTACCAGAAATGCAAACCCATTAGCGAGAGACAAAATGTTTCTTAAATATGCATATGGAATCCCATAACAGTAACTCTCTAATGTAGAATTTATTGGTCTTGCTTAATGTTTTGACATACCGGTTGGTAATAATACCTACCTCTTTTTTCTGTTAATGCAAGTTCAAGAACACAGATGTTGTTAGGTGCTCTACATCGGCATATAAAAGTTATAAACTTCCACAGCTATTATCTCCCATTAACCCCGGGGCATTTTATTTTGCTTTTAGAGGATTCCAGGAGAAGGCAGAAGGTGTGCTGAACGAGTGCTATCGTGAGGATGAACATCGCGCCCAGCTTATCATTAATCACGAATTATCCTACTACGGTCACAGCTCTGTGATCAAACTGGCTGCGGAGGGACAGAGTATCAAGTTCATGGCTCATCCCTGCTGCCAGGATTTTCTCACAAACACCTGGAAGGGAAATCTTTCCTCCAAAAATAGCATGTTCAGGGTGCGTCAGGGTGGCATAACTTCCCTTGGTCGTTTTTTAAAATTATGCTTTCTAGTACCTTTCTAAAGACCTTTCTCTACGTAAATGCATCCCATATAGAAAAAAAATGTTTAGGCAACATCAAATATTTTGAACCTACCAAAATGCAAGATTGCAGTTGTGCCGCGAAGACCCTTTTATTGGCGTGGCTGTTAGAAGAGGTCCTGAGATTTTTTAGCTTATAGGTTTTCTTTGGCCTTTAGCCGATTAAATGGAGCTTTTGATCGCAATAAAATGAATCAAAGGAATAAATACGAATGAATTAGATAGCCTTCTTTCTTCAGCCTCATCAGATGGATCGAGCGATGACTGTGCCAGCCTGGCTTAATTTAACCAGAATGTTCAGGTTCGTTTAAATAAACTAGATAAACTTTTAGTAAACTGAAAGCATGTGATTGATCCAGGACTTTGTATGGCATCACAGTGCATTTTTGACACCAAAGTAACACAAGGCAATCTAGGCGCTTTATGTAAGATGTAACCCAACCATCATGGTTTGTGATTACTGCTAGGAGTTTTCCTTCACGAATGCGCCACGCTCAACAAACCCGGAGATGTTCAGAATCTCCTGATTTTTTTGAAGTCTCTCCTTAATATTGGCAGGTTTTTACCTCTGAAGGACTGCATTTAAGCCTAAGTAGAACATGCTAGCATTTTGTCGTTGATTACAATGCACAATTGTTGGCTAAAACGGTCAATTCGGAGAGTGATGTCCGCGACCACTGCCAGGCTCTTCAGTTGAGTGTCAATAAGACACAAACCAGTAACCCTGTGAAACGCTGATGTCAGCAGTGGGAAGTAAAATAGGCAATGGTCTGTTTGGAACAGCATGTTTAACCTTTAAACAAGCTGCCACAAATAAGGAAACTATCGCAAGCAAGAGAGCTGCAGACCTGCTGCTAATTAGCTGTCACCGGCTTGAAGGACCCTATTGTCGGACATGGTGATGCAGCAGCTCGTGAGCTGGTCTTTTTGCCCGCTAGAATTAGTCACTTGTTTTCGTCTTCTATTCAAACAGTGGCGACCAGTCCCAAGTAATTATTAGTCGGACTATTTGTAAGTAAAGATTTTCACCAGGCTTTTATTACATAAAGTATTCAAGCTTGTTAGTCGAAACTCTACATTTCGGGTGATGAGTTGACCTAGAATGGTGAGTTTCTAAAGCATGACGGAGTTGGGAAGGAAGATGAGATTTGCCCTTAGCGGTACATGATTTTCCAATCTTAAATCTAACCACGAAGCCAAACTCCTAAGGCGTGAAAATTAGTTCCATAGTAGCGGGTTGATCAGAACGAGGATTTAAATTAAAAATATAAAATATCATTGAGCAAGATTTTTGTTAATTCTGTCAACAGTAGGTTGTTTCTGCTACTCATGTCTCTGATGACGAATC